CCAGGTAAACAGTCCGGGTAGAACTCGCAAAGCAAACACTCCAAGGTATGCGAAAAGTTGGGTTTAGTAGATGCTTCTGGGTTCTGATTCAGGAATGGGTTTAAGAAGTTCATGGGTAGGGAATGTGTGTGTGTGTGGGTTTTATCATAGACATGGCACACATACATACACATACATACATACATACACACATATAAATATATATATGTATACATATATGTGCAACGAAGGTGGTTTTTGCAAAAGTGCATACCCATCCATCTCGTATTATTTTGTGTGTATGTGTGTGTGCATGTGTTTGCTCATGTTGTCTTTTGTGCATGTGTCCAATACTCATGTACTTAATTATTCAGTGATTGGTGTTTGCTGTGCCAACCGTCTCTTTGAGAAATCCACACCTAAGTGCTGTTAAGGGCTGGTTGATAGTACTTCTTGATAATACCAATGTCTCAGTCTCTGGATTACTTTAGTGACTTTAGTGTTTCAGCACACAAAAACCGTTTTGGTCAGGATCGGGTTTGAGGTTTGGGGTTCAGGTTTAGGGTTTGGGGTTTACGGGTTTACGGTTTAAGGGGTATACCGGAAGCCACACCATCAACAACTGTGTTTTAACCAAAAGACCTGAAACCCTCGAAACCAAAAAAGCGCCAAAACCCGACCGAGCCCATACGAATAAACCCGACCCCCCACAACCCTGTTGCACTGCTTTCCAATGGCTCCACAGCAGCACAGCCACACTTGATCACACAGCCGCATGACGAATAACGGATCGTAGGGATCGGGTCTGTCTGGAAACGAAATCAAAATGTCCAGCTGTGGTGACAAAGTCTACTTCTTCGGATTCTCCAAGTCGAACTTTTTGCCGGCTTCTGCATGAGCCGCCCTGGCCTTCTTCTTCGCATCATCCTCCCCAATCTGAGCCTTGAGGGCCGTCTCGTAGGCAACATGATATGCTCGGCTCACCACCCTCTTCCTGTCGATGCTTCTCTGGCTCGGCTTGCCCTTCTTCTTCTCGATACCGTCGCCATCGGCCTTCGAGGGATTCTTGTCGGGCTTTTCATCGGCCTCCGAGGGATTCTTGTCGGGCTTTCCATCGGCCTTCTGCTGATTGTTGTCGGGCTTTCCTTTGGCCTTCGAGGGATTCTTGCTGGGCTTCTTTTTGGGCTTCTGCTGCTTGTTGTCGGGTTTTCCATTGGCCTTCGAGGGATTCTTGCCGGGCTCTACCTTGGCCTTCGGGTCGTCATTGCCCTTCTCCGAGCTTGCATCGAAATCGTCTGGCAAACCCACAAAAGCAGATTTCCGCCGCAGCCGCACAGCCGGAACCTTCTTGGACTCGCTGCCCTCCTGATTGTGTGTATGTGTATGTATGTCTGTGTGGGATGCATAAAATCTTTGTGGATCTAGAAGCATGATCACAAACAGTATGCATGTGTACATATCTAGGGTGTATATGTATACTCGTTATTCTATATGCAGTCACAACGACACACTCAAAAACATAAAAACTGTGCATGTGTATGTGTTTGTGTGTGTGTGTGTATTAGTTACTTTATAGCTTGCTTGGTTAGATCAGTTCGTTCATTTTTTTGGCTATATATAAGTAGTTAGATAGCTAGCTAGCTAGGTAGCTAGTTCGCTGCTTACTTAGTTAGTCAATTACATGGTTAGTTAGTGTTATAGTCGATTAGTTAGTTGGTTAGTTGGTTGGTGTGTGAGTGAGTTCGTTACTTGGCTACTTAGTTCCCGAGTGAGCTAGCAAGTTTGTCATTTTTGGTATGGTCGTTAGTTCAGTTTGCTTCCCCCAAACTGGATTTATATATGCTCATGTATTTGCTTATGTGCTTCTTTCTATACTTGTATCATATTTGTATGTATATATATATATATATATAGATGTGCATATGCATACGTTTAAGCATTTACAGGAACATAGGTGTGTAGCTATAGGCATATGTCTATATGTACAAACAAATCAACCCATAGCTAAACCATTTTTAAGCAACCTCCAACTACCTGCCCACAAACATCGAAAAGCGCCAAAACCGAGCATCCTGCTCCGACTGCTGCTTCGGCTTCTTGTTCTTGCTCTTGCAGAGATCGTCGAGCTTACTGCTAGAGCTCTTGCCACCTGCTTGCCGGAAGATTTTCAGCTGGGACCTGCCATCCAAACCGATAGGAATTGTCTCTTCGGCCTCCTTGAAGATATCCTCTGCATCATCTCGGCCATTATCGTGTTCTACGAACTTGTGCAATGCCACCGGGGATGAGCTCAGTGACAAGCCGGCTTCGGGCATCGTCTGCTTTCCATGCTTCGCCGGAGTCTTAGATTCGATCTCATCGAGGTCCTCCATGGCCAATGCAGCTGCGAAAATTGCATCGGCCTCCTCCATTGTTTTCGGAACAACAGCAACAATCGTCGATCCCGGCATCGCTGGCGCCCTGCACGACTGCTCTGCCTCTGAGTGGCCCGGCGATGCCACCATCACATGCGGAGGCGACGACACCACACTCGCACTCGATGGCATTCTCTCAGGCTGGCCGCCAGCCTCGTCCGGAGCCCAATCATCTTTGCCGATCCGGAGCAACCTCAAAACTGCTTCGATCCGCTCGACCTCCAGCGGGGTGCACTTCCTGAAGGCCTGGGACCTCGATTCCGGAGCTTGGACTAGTTTCCGGAATTGGGCAAAACCAATCCTAATCATCTCGTCCACATTGTCGATCACATCCGAAATTGCTTTGTTCTTAGAACCATGAAGTTTCGGATCATCCGACTTCGTGAGCTCCTTGATCGCCGCCCTATGCTTTTTCGGTGGGATGATTGTGTTGCATGCCACCTCGGCATAGGCCTGGTAGAGCTCCCCAAGATGACTCAGCCATTGAGGATTTACTGCTGTCTTCCACGTAATGCCCTTGGGCACTGCCAACAAATCCAAAAGGTTTGACTGGCCATCCGGATCATGCTTCTTAGCAAAGGCTTGCAAGGGCTTGATCAAGTCTGAGATTCCTATGCTGGGGTCCGCCACCAGCCTCATCTTGGCATTGCTCTGGGCCATGTCCCCGAAACACCCGGTAGCCGCCACTCCAGGTAAACTAAAAAGACCCCGAGCCCAAGATCTGCCGGTAGAGACAACCCGCCTCATTATATATATATATATATATATATCTAAATATGTATATGTTTTTATGTACACTGAATCCCTCTCAGAGTACACTTATATAGTTTCCCTCTTTCCCAACCACACTCATTTAGTAAAGAAGGTTCATTCCAAGAGTATATCCGCAGATGCATCGGCCAACCTTCCCGACAGCACGGCAAAATCCTCTGAGCTTTAAACACAAAAGCACTGCCAACAGACCTGCCGACTGAACATGGGGCCCCGTGTTTGATGCCTCGTCATAACTCCTCGATCTGCACGACACACATAGGGTCTCTGCCTGGGCAATGTGTGGGTAAGGGGGGCCTTCATGTTGTTGGGGTTCAGGGTTTCGGGTTGCAGATTTGGGTTTTTTGTGGAGAGCTGTATGGCTTCAAGATTTAGAGTCTAAGATCTCTTAGGGATGCTTCGGGCTTGCATGCACAAGAGCTCCAAATGGGGACCCTCAGAAACAATGCCCCACCAGAAACCTAAACCCTAAACCACACATCCATTAAAAAATCCACAAAACTCTAAACCCCTAAAAACTCTAAAGCCCTGATCACACGAACCCCGAACCCGCAAGAGAAAGAGAGCCCGAAGCAGAAACACTGGAAATTTCCAAAACTCTTATTCTATAGATTTGACCCAACCCCCCCAACCCCCCCACAAACCCTGCGAGGCAACTGCCTTCAGAAGGCAGAGAAACTCTCGTGGTAGCTCTCCACAGGTGCCTTCTCATGGGTGGTGCAAGACTCTCCACAGAGGTAGATTTATCTCTCTCCAGGTATATAACACTCTTCCCTCCAGGTAGCACCTCCACAGGTATAACCGACTCTCCAGGTATACTTATTTACCTTTCTCAGGACACTCTCCAGGTAGCTGTCTCACATGGTAAAGGTTCACAACCTTCCAGGTAACAGACTCTCCACAAGTATATATATAAAGCTTTTTCACGACAGTCTAAAGGTAGCCGTCAAGGTATGAAAGTTCCTCCTTCGCACACTCTCCAGGTATGAATTTCACGACACCCTCCAGGTAGCTGTCTCAAGGTATAGTTCCTCCCTCCAGGTAAAAAACACTCTCCAGGTATAAATCCGCGACTCTCCAGGTAACTCTCAAAGTAGAAAGGTTGTTCTTCTTGTGTGTGTGTGAAACTTCGCACAAAATGAGAATGCGAAGAATGCCTACAAGATGGATACAAATTATAACATGATGTGTAGGTATACACCGATATGTGTGCTATATACAACATATATATATATATATATATAGATGTATAGATGTGTGTCAAGGAACCTGTAAACATACTACAAAAACATACATACATATATAGATATACATACACATACATACATACGTAAATACATATAAACACATATGTACAGATATACATGCACATATACATATACATATACTTATACATATACATATACATATGATCTGGTTACACTCGGACCAGCATGGGAGACGCAGCCACTTCTCTTTTTCATGCACGATGCCGAACTGGCTGCTGAATGAATCGTGAACGGTGGAAAACAGCCGAAAGCTCAGAGCATCAAGGCTTGGCCAACAACTCTGAGCTTGGTGAAATGCCCCCTGATGTACACTAAGAAGGCGGAGATGGGGATGGACGGTGGGAAGGCTTGAGCGGCATATTAGCGGCCCACACGTTCCACACTTCATTATCGAGTGAACTCTGCCCATGATCTGGTTACACTCGGACCAGCATGGGAGACGCAGCCACTGCTCTTTTTCATGCACGATGCCGAACTGGCTGCTGAATGAATCGTGAACGGTGGAAAACAGCCGAAAGCTCAGAGCATCAAGGCTTGGCCAACAACTCTGAGCTTGGTGAAATGCCCCTCATCCCACATCCTTGTGAGAACTGGCCATGGAAATTGCTATCTCCCTGCACAGCATAGTAGGGTAAGGCTGCGCGCGGGAGGCCCACCAGACACCCGTGCCGTCTTTGCCCGCAATGTGAATGTGCCGCCGTCCTGTAGCGCTGCAGCGGCCATGCGATGCTGAACAGCAGCGCAGAAGAGGTAGATCACAATTGTGGCTGAGAAGACCCGTGCTCCTGCGCCACGGCACCCGGTATTGGCAGTAATCTACCTGCCGCAGCTCAGCGCCAGACTGCATGAGCACTTTCATCTCCTTTGTGAGCCAACATCTAGATGTCCAAGGGTTTTCAATTACCCACGGCGTGCCTTGTTTAGAGAGCAAGAGGGCAAGATGGCATGTAAAGCGGAGCAGTTGGTTCCCCAGCTCCACCTTGCACTGATCGCTTGAAGAGAGAGGAGTCCGCCCGTACAGGAACAAGTCATCATCCCTGAGCGGAGGGGGACCTCCATCCCATTGGCGAGCTCTGCTCCAGCTTTGACATGGCATGCCAAACCAGACCAGAACAACGTTATGACGGCTGATGAAACTGCGCACTGAAGCCTCCACTTTACTGTCAAGTAGGTCGCAGGCCGATCCATAGTCAATGTCATAGGCAATGACATTGAAACCCTGCTCAGCGAAAGCTTGTGCAAGATGAGCTGTGCCACTGAAGAGCTCGATGACCCATTTGTCGGTGGCACCTAGGCGCGAGTGAAAAGTCTTTGGGCCTCTCTTGGAAAATCCTCGGCTGCCTGACGAGCTGCCTGTTGCACCTGCTTCGGCAGCTTCTGGAATTCTTGGTTGACCCGTGCATGGGCCTCGTACCTTTTTGTGGATTTGTCGCTCATCCACCTGCCTCGCTTCTTGATTTCTTGAATGGTTCGGTATCTTATCAAATGATCGTGCGACGGTCCTGAGTGCCGTAGCTGGTAAAGGACTGCGTGATTTCTGGCGAGCTTGATACTCACCAGAGCTTCCTGCCAGTGATTGCGGAGTTGATGATAATCCACACCGAGCAGGAGATCCCCCGCTTGGCTGCCACGCAATCGTTCCAACATTTTGCCCAGGAATGGCACCGTAGGACTGTCCAACATCACGGATTCGTTGGACAAACACATCTTGGAAGTTTCCATCCGCTCCTCGGGATGGAGGTTGAGCGTGTAGTGCGGATGAACAACCGAAGGCACCACGAGATCTTCGTTTCTCGCGCTCAGCGCTTCTCCCGGACGTAGGTATGCCACGAACATGAGCATTACTGCCACCGCAGATCTTATCTGTTTCGCTTTCAACAGAGTCAAAATGAGGTATGCCACTAAAGGCCATGGTAGAGGTGGACGCGTCCGACCTGGATCCAGCTTGTGCCACCCTTGTAGAGCACGTCTCGACCTCGGTAGGCTCGATTTCTGGGAAAAGGAAGGGAATGCATCCACGACTGCGGCCAGCGACTTGGTGCCTTCTCCCAAATCGCAACCTTCTTCGAACAAATGATTGAGATACTCGCAAAAGGTGCCATCTAATTTCGTCTTGTGAAGACTCAAACTGTTCTGCTTCGCAAAGGCCCTGAATTGCCGCATCCTTTGAGCATAATCCTTGGCCACCTCCATTGTGATGGCTGCACGTTCCAGAGGAGTCTGACCCTGAAAACGAGGCTCCATCACATGCTGATCCAAATATTTCCTTCGCTTCTCGGCCTTCACCTCCTTGGTGGGGCCATCCAGTGATATTCGGATGGCAGCTTGGGATCGTTTGCGACTCGTCGGAGTCCTGGTCTGAGAACTTTCCGAATGCAGTTCTGACATCACCTGGTTTGCCAGAGGATTTAAGCAAGGATTGTTTGGACGAAGACCCTTTGAGATCCCCAGCAGCATGCTGCACACGCAGATGCTCCCACTTTCGTGAGCCCGCGTCTGCAACGTTCCACTCACTAGGCACCCATCTGCAGGTCAACGATGCACCAAGCGCAATGACAAGGCAGGCTAGACGCCTGCAGACCTTCAAGATGCTCATAGATGAACTACGCCCCTTGTCTACTGCCAACACCATGCCAAGGTTGTCATTGATGTGCAAGTGTCTCTTGCCAAATGCTTCTAAGCATCTTGCTTTATGACGAATAGCAGCAACAATGCCACGCCCTTCTAACAAGGTGATGTGCTCATCAAACTGCATGTGTTGGCTGAATGCAAGGTGCCATTCTTCAGGTGCCATAAAGCTTTGGGGTAATTCGTAGAAGTTCTCGCTGAGCTCGAATGGATCCAAGCTGTATGTTCCTTGGGGCTTAACCGTGGAAGGGTCCTCGAATGGGTCCCCAGGTTGTTGTAACACCATGCGCGGCCTGCTCTCGGGTGAGACTCCTTTGAACCTCCAGTTTTCGCGAGTTTTGCCAATGCTTGATACTTGGGAAAGCGATGCACTTCGAAGACAAACGGCTATGCCTGAAAGCGAAGCATCCGAAGCGCTGACTCTTTCCGACCAAGGGCGCGTCAAATCAGTTGAGCACACCCTCAGCAGGTTGGAGATCCACCTGGCTTCTCGTGCAGCATTTGACCACAACCGATGTTTGCCCTCACCAACGCGCTGCACAAAGTCATAGAGCCCGCGCATCGTGCTGAGCAACTCTCTACGGACCATCATGAAATGCACCGCGTGTCCCAAAAGTTTCTGAACAGCCTTAGCGCTCACACGCGGCCTCCGAGAAAGCCACTGGAAGCACACCACCACTCGATGGAGCCTTTCCGGAATGGGTGTGACCAGGCCCCGCTTGCCGTCAATGCGAAAACCCAGAGAATCAACCGTATCAACCGCATCAATCTCTTCGTGTACCAAAAACCCCAATCGACGAAGCCTGGAGACGGCACCGTCTTTGGCGATCTGAACCTTGCGAGCATCAGTGCCGGCAACGTTAAGGTTGTCCGCATAGGGCAGCAAAACTGGCTCACCACTGCTAAGGTCTGGGGCTGGTTTGTTGTCTACCAAGACCCTGTCGATGCTGAGACCTGACCCAAGCATTGATTGATGCTGATGGACTCGTTGGGAAATGTACATAGCCCAACTCCACCCCATCGGAATCACTCGAAGAACGGGATACACCCAGCCTCCACGATCAGTTCCATCCCATTGGTCTCCCCGAAGCCCCCACCTGCGTGCTTGAGCTGAGGTCACCGGAGGCAAACAGAAGAGTGATCGTAAACTGGAGGGAAGCTGCAAGCTGTAAAAGTAATCCTTTATATCAGATTGCGCCATGTACAAAGTCTCCCCCTTCTGAATGGATAGCTGGCTCCACGATGCGCCTGATCCAAGAGCCAACGGAGGAGGAGGACGAAAGCGTCGATTTACACCTCGACAATCCAAAATAAGTCTGAGCTTCTTGTTTTTCTTTATGACGAAGAATGGCGTGACCAAATCTTTGGGCTCTGACGTGAAGGAAATCATGCCAGCGTCTGCGAGGTCCTTTACAAAGACGCTGTATTGAGCAGGATCCTTCTTCAGAACTTCATCCATATATGGACTGAACCCCTCATGGCTCTCGATTTTCTCTCCCCACTCATCTGAATTCAAAAGCATACATCTGGAAGGGTCCTCTACGATGTCTCGGCCGCTATCGTCAAGCACGTCACTGAGTCCCACAGCCTGATGACCACAGGATGGTATGCTGACTAGGCCCCTCTCGTAAGGACGAACCGTCGTCGAGGCCTCGTTGCCATCGTAGGCGAGGCTGGTCTGCAGGAGCTCTTGAACAGCCCCACGCTCTGACAAAAATGTACTCGGCAAGGAACTTCTGGCCACTGCCTTGAAAATCTCATGCTGCGCCGCCCTCTGAGAAGCCGTACAGCTTGAGCCACAAAAGTCACCATCTCGGCTAGGAGCATACATCTCATTCATGACCTGGATGATCGAATTAGTTTGCTCGACATGTTGTCGAACTTTCGCGCGACGGCGCCTAGAGCAGATTGACGAACCTGAAGCTCGAGGCACCTCCTCGCAAAGTGGCAAAGGAAAGAGCTCGCGGTTGCGAGCAGCCAAGTCATGTGAGTCTCCTTGAAATGAATTCCCATGTTTGTTCATGCAGTTGACCTCTGCTTCTGGCATCCCCTCGGTCACTGACGATACCAGCCTTTCTGCACTCATGAGCCCCCGCCGCCATCGGCCTGGGCCTTTGCTTTGGCCTTGCCGCGGCGGCGTGCTTCTTGCTCCTCCTTCGCCTTGCGGGCCTCCTTGAGGATCGCCGCCTCATTCTTGAGCTCTCCAGCCACATAGGCAGAAAGGTCGCTGTCGACACCCGCTGCCGTCTTCTTGTACTTCCAACCCATGTAATGGTCAGCGCTGCTGTAGTCTGGATTGCTAGGAGAAGCTCGATGGGCCTGACGAATCACCTGCAATCGTCTGAATATGAGCTCGGCCGACTGCAATGCTGGCACATTCAATTGGTCTACCATGATCATTGCATCCATGATTCGTGATAAGCATTCATGCTCATATGTAGATCTGTCTCCACGAGGGATCTCCGAGGTTCTTAGCCAATGCTCGTGGAAAGTACTGGGCGTGAACTGCTGATCGCGCATGTCTTTAAGGAGCTTCAGAGCCGAACTTGGGCCTGACAACTGGAGCCCACCACCTTGTGGAGGGTCATCGTCCATGAGACTCACCGCAGTTGAGAACTCCTTGCGCCTCACCCCCTGAGCATCGAAGGAGATGGGCAGAAGTCTGATGTCCGTCAACCGATGCTTGGACACTTCTGCCGCGGCCACTTTGCGGACGAACAGCACACTTCCGCCTTCGGGTATCATCCCTTTGTCTCCCATCAACACGTGGCCATTTGGCAACGGGTTGGGATCCATCGCAACCACATCGCCACGCTTGTACATGATGCCGTCTTCTACTGCGATCCACGTGTCCTTGTCAGACCCAGCCGGTGCAACCGCAACGGGTGCACCGCCGTCCGGATTCAAGGGCACAGGAAGGGCTGGACCACCGACAACCGCCGGAACCCCTGCTGCTCCAAGTATCCTTGCTGCTTCAGCCTGTCCCTGGTTGAAGTAGTTGCGAAGATCCTGAGGAGTCAGTGGAGCAAAGCTGTAGACGTTCCGGGGGTTAATGCGAGGTGGAATGACGCCATCTGCACCACACATGTGGAAACCGACAAAATCTGGATTGCTGATGCTCATCTCTTCTTCATACAAATCGTGATCCGGCGTGAGAATGATCCAGCTCGAGCCCTGTGTAGGTGCCAGAAGAACCCGCATGTGCCATAAGGTAGGCCTCTCGCCGTAATTCACTAAGGCAATGTCTCCTGGGTTCATGATCACAAAGTCAGCTGAAGGTTCCTTCCAGGTGCGCCGTAAACTCCCTTGCCTTTGCGAGGCAAGCTGGGCTCAGATGACAAAGGCCTCTGATGCAGCCAGAATCCCAAGCAGAGCAACGTAGTGAGCAGAAGCCCCACTCCTAGAAGAACGAAGTTCCACTGAGATCCTTCTGGTGCACACTTGCAGACACAAGTGCAAGGCGAGCCGACGGCCTCCACTTTACTTTCACCTCCCAGGAAGTCTTTTCCAAGCCAGCCAACAGCGACAGCTGCGGCTAGAGGAACCCAGCTCACATCCATGGCCGAACCTAACTCCCCTTGAAGGCTTGAGCGGCATATTAGCGGCCCACACGTTCCACACTTCATTATCGAGTGAACTCTGCCCATACTTGCATGTGAACATATATATATATATATATATATATATTGATACTGTACATATTCAGACACACGTATATATGTATACACATACATACATTGTACACATACATGTACATATATATATATATATGTATGTATGTATGTATGCATGTACATATATATATATATATATATATATTCACATAAAATCAGGCCCCAAACTTCGATCACTGACCCCTTCAAACTTCGACCACGTGGCGCCGAAGTTTGAACGAAACTTCGTCGAAACTTCGGCGCGGCGCTTCTCGCATCCAACCCCATGATTTTAACTATTTCCTGTGATTTTGACTATTTCGAAGCCCCAAATTTTAACTATTTCCTAGCATATCCAAATCAATCAATTTAACTATTAGTTGTGATTTTCCCCCCGAAACTAATAGTTAGAATTCTGACTTATCTGATCTATTGGGCTTCCAGACAGGGGGTTCGGGGGGGCGTCGGGAGCGAGAGCACAGGGCTGAGAGCACCGATGAGGCGCTCTGAGAGGTAACTTTCTGCAGGCGGTCGCCATGCAGGGTTGCGCACCAATTCTCCCTATTTTTGGAAGCCGCGGAGGTGCAGGGTGGCGGGACGGCACTTCGCGAGGGCTCCACCACTGCCTGGGGCATAGGCCACGGCTCTCGCTCTGGGTCTTTGACGTTCCTGCCTCGGGTGAAAGGTTCCCACACACACAGCAGCACTCAAAGACTGCAGGAGGCATCACAATTAAGCAGCCGGAGTTGCAGCCTGCGACTGTTGCGACAGCTGCATTCACAGCAGCGCAGACTTCTAGGGCATCCCGGTCCTTAAAAGCCTCCGTGCACTCGAAAGCCTCGGCCGCGAGCAGAGCGCGACGGAGAGGTTTCCAGCGGAGAGCGGGAAGAAGAGCAGGGCAGACGAGGAGCCCAGGCAAAGCCGCGCTTCCCCCAGCGCCGGGCATCCGCGGCGTCTGCGTCTCGCGCGTTGTTGGTTGGTTCTCTGCCAAGAACGTAGCATCCTCGCAGGGAGCGCTGCCGCACTGCCCCCTCCTCCACTGGCGGGGCCAAAAACCAGAAGATGAGAGCCTCGGCATCGCCCCAGAGGCCTCTGCGCTTCAGATCCCCTAGGGGCAGAGAGCTATAACTAGCCGCAACAGAGCCGAGCGCTGCCCAGGACGTGCCGCCCCGTGTAAGAGCGAACAGGCCACGGTCCTTGTAACAAGCCCAAGCGTCAAATCCTAATGACACTTCTTTGATCGTGATCAGTCCCAGGAACGAACTATGGCTGCTTGGATGGTCCTTGCTGTGAATTCCCACATTGCAAGGACAGGGCAGTAGCAACAACTTCTTCTGCATCCGAGGATCGTCGTGAGAATCGGCGTCAGCTTGCGATCAACGAGCGTGCGGTCATCAGCTCCTATGTCTGCAGCACTTTGGAAATCCACATAGGTCATAGGTGTTCGCCAAGTTAGAGACGGCTACAACCGGGACCGCGACAGCATGATCGCGGGGGTCCGCGAGGCCTACGGCTGCTCCAGCATCCGAAACGTGAAACCATTGCAGATTCACATGACCACTAGCTGGCATCATAAACGCCACCAGTACAAATTCGCCCAATGGGCGCGTCCATTCCCAGCATCGTCGTCACAGGCATAGCACCAAAACGGGTGCCCCGAGCACCGTATTCCCGCAACACGGGCATATCGCCCAAGCAAAGGTGCACTGAGCTCTCCGAGAACCGCATCGCACCAAACCATGGCCTCCTCCAAAGTGCATTTCGCACCGCATAAAACGGAAGAACCTGCCTTGGGGGGGTCACACATAATGTGGCATTCGGAAACACTGAGCAAGGGAAGGCCTTGTCTCACCTGTGGGCACTGTGACCTCTAGAAGCTCACACACGACTGCACAGCTTCTAGACAGTACGACATGTCGGGAATCAGTAACAAACAAAGACAGCTGCACCACCTGCATAAGTTCGACCCAGCCTCGTGTGCTGCATTTTGCGGATGTCACAGCCGGTGCCCACACGGAGCTAAGAGGAGCCGTTCGCCCTCCCGGAAACAAGGTGCACTCCACACCATACTTCGACTTCATTACACGAGGAAGCTAAGCGTGGGCCCTTTGGTCGAAACTAGCTGCCCTTCCATCATTTCTCTTGCCTATGCACCGACACTGCCATCGATGTCGCATTCGCGGTAACCATCATCGCTCACATTGCAGCGGTTGCACGATAGGAAGCGTATGTTGCGCAGTCTGCAGCTGCTCCTAGGTCCTAGGTGGCGCCACTACTGCCAGCGCACGCACCGTTTCCCAGTTCCTCAAGGGAACCCAAAGCCACCGCTCAGGGTAGCAGCATGCACGATAAATGTTACTCAGAATTGCAACAGATTACGGCGACTTGGATCTGTCGCACCGACCCAAACCTGGGAAGGAAGCGCGCACGCGCACGCGCCGGAGATGGGCAACTGATCCTTTGCTGTCGCCAACACCCAGGATTGAATGCGAATGAGATCTGTTTCGTAACAGCAAACGCTGTACGCGCACGCGCCCTCTAACAACACGGATCTGTCGCCAATCGCTGCAATCACCCAGGAGCAGCGAAGGCGTTGAGAGGCGCTCGAACTCCCCCAGCAAACGCTCTGTGAATCGACCTGTTTGAACCCCTGAAGGCGGCAGCCTGCTCCCCCCCCCCCCAGAAGGGGACGCGAATCTTCTACTAACACAGTACAGGTTGCCAAGAGGCGCACCCCGCAACACTGGGGGTCATGTAACTCCAGCATTCGCTAAGTCAAAATGCTGTTGTCAGAGGATATTAGGATATGCATTGCGCGCTTCATATTAGACTGGGCCTGTACAGCACGTCTGTCGTCAGCAACATTTTGCATCACACCTAATTCATCAACCAATATTACATCAGAAGACTCACGAAATTGCTTTTGCCGGTCCTGAGGCGGCACTGCCCCACTGAAAGGATTGCACCAAACATGCTGCAAAAGCATGGATCTGATTCAGACCTCGCTGCTGATCCGACCCTGCGCTCGGAAAAGAACCTCTGGACTGTAGCGAATGCAAACTCTGAAGTTGGAAATGCTGCACATGGTGCAGCTGATGCTGCACGCGGATCGCGACGCCACCACATCGCGCTAAGGCCGTTAAGGTCTGTTCAGCTGGGTTTAGGCCAATTGAGCCCCTCTAAAGACCCAACCTAAGGCAAAAACGCATTTTGCTCTAAGGTTGGGTACTAAGACTTACTAAGACCATCTGCTGAACATCTTGCAGCTGATCCTGAAGTGCAACACCAAAGCCGGCATCAATTGAGCGTGCGCACTAATAAGCTTGGGTATGCTGCACATCTCACAACTGATGTTGCACTTCACGGCGCCACCGCTGCCCGATCCCAGGTGATCATGGACTCATCACCTCAGAGCGCAACTCCCGCTCACTTAGACGCTTGGACATGGAACTGCTGCCCGATGCTATACTCCCCTGCTGTTGCAACCACTGCAAGCGTGGCCCAGACGAAAACGGATTCAGAAATCAGGACTGCACCACAGGTGCACTAAGAAGCTTGGGTATGCTGCACAGCTTGCAACTGACGTTGCATTTCACTGACTTCGCCATCGCTCAAGCTGATCCCCTGTGACCACGGATTCATCACCTCAGAATGCAACGACTGCGCACTTAGAAGCTTGGACACGCTGCACACCTCAGGACTGATTCCTCACTTCACTGCTGTCACCACCACTGCAAGCGTGGCCCCAGGTAACCACCAATTCATTACCCAGGATTGCAACACATGCACACCGCATAGCGCAAAATTCTTGCCTACTCCAGAGAAGCGATCACGAAACCAACAAGTGACCACAGTTCCGTCGCCCAGGATTACACTAAACATGCACTTAGAAACTTGGATCTGCTCGATGCACGCCACTGCCATCGCCACCAGAGCTGGCATGACTACGGCTGAATACAAAACCGTCATCCATGACTGCAACAATGCCCAATTAGAAGCTTGGGACAGCTGCACATCTCGCAGCTGCTGGTGCATCAACTGCGGCGTTACCCCAGCTAAGGATACGGCCACCACCCATGAGATTGCAACGAACACTCATATCGTACCATGCTGCGCAGTACGGCTACGAGCATGGCCATAAGTGACCTCGGAGCCAACAACCAGGATTGCAGCAAATACGCATTCAGAAACCTTGGATCTGCTGCACATATCGCAGCTGATGCTGCGCGTGACTGTTGTCGCCAGCACTGGCCGGGGTGGCCCCCTCAATCACAAATCTGGTCAGAGCTGACCCATCGGCAAGAACTGAGTTCAGAGGCATAGATCTGCCGCATGTCTCGAGCCGAGTCTGCACTGCCAGCGCAAAGGGGAAGTCTAACAGCATTACCACCTAAAATCAAGGCCATCGTGAATGACTTGGATCTGCTGCATTTTTGTATGTTGACATCGAACAATACCGCTGAAAAGTGCAATCACAATCTGCCTCGTTGCCCCAGGAACGACAAAAGTCGCTGCCAAATAGCCGTAAAGCGGCCAACATGACCGCACATCTTCAACAGGCTCCAAGGAAAAGCCCTAACCAAGAAAAACTGATCTGGTGCAAAAAATCTCACCGCTGGTCCTGGACTGCGTTGTTGTCCCAACACATTCAGAGCCCCAGATCCGGAACTGGGATTGCAGCGGATGCACCGCAACAAGTCTAGAGCCGCCGCAGAATTGCAACTGATGGCCTATTGCACTGCTGGAATTGCAACTGATGGCCTATTGCACTGCTGGCGCTAGCCCCCGATCCAACAACCAGGATGGCAGCCACTGCACCTTGAGAAACAACGTTCTGTTGCGCAAATCAGTGCTGACGCGGTACGTACATGTTTAGCCACGCAACAGTGTTCCTTGTAAAACACCGGCCCGTATTCCGCGGCACTCTCACAAAAATGATATGCCCTTGTGGGAATTCTTTGCGACAGCCCTGCATTTCTGCTATGGACTCGACATGGTTTTAGTTAGTCGGGGGCATCAGAACAAGCAGTGCACAGCCTCGCAATGCCTCGCATGCACGGTATACCTCTGATCGTAAGCCCAAAATCTGTCCTCCAACGTCGTTTATGTAACAGAAGCGTCCTTGACAAAGACGACTTGCAGGCCGCACGGCTCGCTGTTGCACTACATGATGGTTATCGGCCCAAGAATTAATAGAACCTCTGCCGAACGTCTTGGATATGACTGTGCCTGAAGGGAGACATGACATCGGATTGAACACAGGTGGTGCTGTGTTCGCATGTGACGTAGTCTTTGAGGAAGCTTCACTAGATGAAGCAAACAAACCTTGCACACACACACACGAACCTGCACTGGCTGGAATAGCTGTAGCATAGCATTGTCCATCTCCTTGGTGACGCATCGCGGTTGTGGGCTCAGCGATGAAATGAAGCCATCCATGTAGCACACGGCGCTGCGAAGTGCACGCCAAGCAGCACAAATCCTTCAACGTGGAAACCCTATTAAACCTCGGAGCCTGAAGCCTGAACCGTAAGCCGTCAAGCCAAAAGCCCTCAACCAAGGCTCAAATTTTGCCACAACGAAAGAAGGGAACGGGAGCAGAGGTCATGCGGACCGTTGAGTGACGACATTTTCGGGATTGTCGCAGGGCCTACGTCGTAGGGCCGTAGGGACGACCAAAGGATCCCGCCATTCATGCCCGCGCTAAGGCCTCAACTCTCGGCACTATTTGGAGCTGGCTGGCTTCAAGTGTCAGTACCGCTCCATTCATCTTGCCGGAGGACACCTGTCCAAACTACATGAAGTCTTCAGACTCAGCGCTAAGGGTGTTGCAGGGTACATGGTTCAGTGGATGGTTGAAGGTAGCCGCGCAGTTTGATGCCGCCTCCGAACCCCGCTGCATTCCGCAATTGCCCGATAAAAGAACAGCATGAACAACAAGAACCTTGAGGGAATGATGACATGCATGTGGGCAAATATGTGGCACATGCATAGGGGCAAATAGTGGCACAAGCGGCAACCTGCTGACTCTATCCGCCTTTATCCGCGAAAAGTCCGATTGCTGTTTCACAGGTTCGCGAGTCGAGGGTTCTTTCCCGGTCAGCACACTAAAGCTGCTGCAAAGGTTCAGTTCGGGACGACGTCAGAACCAAGTGCGGCCAGGCACCGTAGTCAGGATTAGCCGGGAACACTGCTGTGAGCAGCAAACTCACATCCGCCCTTATGCGTTGCTGAGGACAGCGTCGCGTTCAACGATGAACGCCTGCCAAAGCCGGTTTTAGGTCAGCGCTGGACGGCGTGCACATGATCATGCCATAGAGCTCTTCGAAATTCAATGGACGCCTGCCATCCGTGGAGGAAAGAAGGGCTCGTCCTGACCAACACCCTCAGACTGGCTCAACGACTCCGCAGATTGCAGCTGAAAAACCAAGAGGCAACTTGAACGTGGACCCTACGCTGCAGACATCCGCAGACCTTGTCTGCCAGAAAGTCCCAAGAAGTCTTCCTTCATCTGCAGGCCAAGAAAGACAGCGCCACCCGCATCGGTGCCAAGCTTCTGTGCTCAGTTCGTCTCAGTTCTATTCAACCTTGCTTATCCTCACAGTCGATCAAGTTGGCTTGAAAGGCAAACACGAATCTGCGGCACACGATTACTGAATCTACTCATGCAGGTAGCTTAGCGCAACAGGCGGAGCTGCCCGCTGCAACAACTGGCTTTGGCTAGGACATCGGCTTTCCCAAGCTCATCCGACTCTTTCCCACACGCAGCTCGGCGATCTGGGCAAGTGAAAAATGACAGCAGCATTATGGGCCTCACCAGAAACAGGTACTTTGCCAGCCACGAAATTGAAACAACTGTTAGTTGTACAATTGCACAAGTATTGGCTGTCCTCTGGTCATAGACCTATCAATACCTATCATGACCAGTCATCGTATGATGCCGATGGCATTCTCTGTATCAAGCCCTGGTTGTAATGCAGCTGCCACACTGAGCGCATCTAGCTGGAGTTGGGACCATCATTGCTACCGCCAAGACAGCTCTTGAAGAGCTCTTGACACCTTCGAGACAGAGCCCAGGGCCCATTGCCAAGCCACGGCTGGCGCCGCTGAGAACAGCTCTTCGCGACGTGTGCTGTGGTGGTCGCCGTTTTGCCGCCTCTGAGGTGCTGCCGCCCGACAGCCCAGCTCGCCTGCATGTGTGGTCCTTGGCCAGCAGCCTGGGCCACCTCCTCGAGGATTCGCGGGCCTCCTGTGTGGCACGCGATGTCCACCTCCGCAATCGGTGTGGGCACCTCCGGAAGCCCAGCCTCTTTAAGCAAAGTGGATAGAAACTTTTGGGTTCCACTGCAGCAACACCATCAGGCAGACATCTGATGCAACGGTGCCGGACTTCACTTTTTGGCCAGATGCACCTTGTGCAGCGATGTTGAAAAACAAGTCTGAGCCATTCAGGCTTAGCGAACTCGAGTGTGATTTACACTCCGGGTGATATTCAAGCGCATCTGTACGAACATCTCGAAAGGATGTCAGGCGCTTGCGTGGTGGTGGGGTTGGATGGCGGCCCCTGAAAAAGCTTGAGGAGTAATTCAAGCGGCCATATCGTTACGTTCGCACCTGCATCAAAACTCTGCTCAGCAGAAACAATGATGCAACGGTGCCGGACTTCACTTTTTGGCCAGATGCACCTTGTGCAGCGATGTTGAAAAACAAGTCTGAGCCATTCAGGCTTAGCGAACTCGAGTGTGATTTACACTCCGGGTGATATTCAAGCGCATCTGTACGAACATCTCGAAAGGATGTCAGGCGCTTGCTCCCCTATCCGCTATGCGTTCTTCAACTGAGGCAGTATGCCGATGACAAGTTCCCGGCACAGCTGAAAAGGATACGGCTGGGCCAACGAAGTCATGAAACGGCCGTCTGGCGCTCGACCTCGAAGCGCTACATGGCGCTTACCCGTGCGACTGCAGCATAGAAAACTGCCGCGACATACGCGGGCAACACATGTGAGATCCAGACGGCTAGCGAAAAGCCCCAGGGGTTTTCTCCACAGTTCATGGAACTGACAGCAGTGAAGCTCTGTAAAAGTGGTGCGCGGCAGCAGCCTAAAGACCTTCAGCAGAGGAGTGGCCCACACTATGGAGGACCACGGATGCTCAAGCACAAAAGGAATATTCAGAAAGCTGCAGAACCACATGATACGGCAGGTAAAGAAGAGAAGCTTGTTACTGAGGATGAGAGACTTTCGGTCCCTGTTTCCCATCTCCGGCATTCCCATAGGATACTCCGTACTTCTCAGCGGTCCCGGGCCGACTCCATCATGGCATCGCGCAGCACTGAAGGTATTGCCAGGCATCCCCAGCCATACCAAGCGGATGCGGCGCAGCTTCAATAACCGAATGATCTCCTCCTCCACCCCGTCACTGAGAACATCATCTCGAGGATGAAGCGTGATGTCAATGGGGTAGCAGGATACACCTTGTGATCGAAAGGCCTTGGTAAGACGGCCCTCTCCCGCGAAGATTTCGAGGATGCTTCCAACAGGTGCTTCTCGCCATTCTTGCCAAAGCGGGCTCAATGACTGATGGGCTGAGCCCGCCCCATAATCACCTCCGGCATCCTTTGCACAGACCGTCGGCAATACTGAAGGGCCCAAGCGGGCATGCGATTCAACAGACTCTGCAGTTTGCCTACTTTGGCATACCGCCTCACCGATGAGTCCGTCATCCATCTCCCGCGGTCCTTGACCCCTTGATAGTCTCTCACCTTGCCTGCAAGGTCTTCGGAGGCCCCTCCATGCCTTAGTTGGTATGTGCAAAGATCTTGCAAGCCGAGCCATTCTCCCGCTGATTTGAACACCTCTCGGTATCGAGCTGGATTGATATTGAACATGGGCTCCTGCATCTTCTTGTTCTTCACGTCGTTCTTCAGCGCTGCTCCAAGCCACTTCTCCGTGCTCGGATTGTCCAATCTTATAGAACTGCTGTAGACCCCCGTCTTGTCCGGGCGTCGTTCTTCCTCCTCCCTGATCACCAACGTGTAGTGACGATAATGACTTCCTGCTCCAGCAACCAGCAACACAAGGCTCTTCTTCAGGAGGTCCATAGCTTCGCCCGGCCTGACGTAGGTGTCGAAACTCATCAAGACCAACAAAGCAGCCTCCCGTTCCCCTTTGAAAAGGAGCCTCATGGCGATTCCGTAGGTCACCATCTTGGGCAGTGGCAGCCGGCTTCTCGGCGGCACAAGCTTGCGCCACCCTCGAAGAGCTCGCCGGCTCCGAACCATTTTGCCCTTCAGGCCCAACGAATAAAACTCCACGGCCGCTAACGTCTTCTCCCCGTAGTTTACGCCCTTCCCCTCGAGAAAAAGGACGTCGAAGTAGTCGGCGAGCGTCTCGTCCGCCTTGGCCTTGATTGGCCAGGGCACCTTGTTCTCCTTGCAGAAGTCCTTGAACCTCTGCCGGTAGAAATCATACTGCCCCTGCTGCTCCTCGCTGATGCTCTTGATCTCTAAGGCGGTTATCCCGCCTTTCCTCGCTCTCTTTCCTGGGGGCTCCACCTCCAAATGCATGTCGGCCACCACGTTGCGGCGTGTCGAGACACTTCGCTTCTTCACCAAACCCTTTGTCCCATTGATGCTGTTCCTGCTCTGGTTCACTCGAACTGGCTCCTGCTCTGTCGGGAAAGGTATATTGCGGATCACCTGATTCACCATGCCGGTACCCCTTCGCGCCTGGACTGCGCTGCTCGCCGACTTCAGTGAAGTAGCCCGGAGAACTCGAACCTCTCGAAGGCCCGTCTGCGACATTCCGTTCCGAAGGGATCCACCGCACCCGCAGACCGAGGTTTGCTGCAAGTGCGATGGCTCCGATCTTCTGCGCCACCCGCAACATGGAGTGATTAGCGGCTCTACTTTTCCCTAGGCAGAACGCCAGGGCCAAATTGTCGACCAGGATGAGGTGTTTCCTTCCCTGGTTGTTGGCATTTCTTGCAATACGGCGAACAGCTAAAACCAAAGATCTCCCTTCTTTCAGAGTGATGTGCTCTTGGGTGTGATTCCAACGCCCTTTCAAAACAACTTCATAATCTTGCGGATTCAAGAAAGAGGTGGAGACTTCTTCAAAAGATTCGTTGCGTGTGTACATGTCCGTCTCCTCGCAAGCCAGTGGGTCACAGCGTGCCGAAGCGACATCACGAAGAACATCTAAGCCCAGGGCACGGCGCCTCGGCGCCCACTCCTCGATGGGGGACCTTTTGTATCGCCACCGCTCTTGCCACTTCCCAGTTTTTCGCACCTCTTCGACAGAGAACGTTCCTTCACAGATACCGTAGCCCTCTGGAGAAGCATCGCTAACAGTAACCTTCTCGCTCCACGACCTCCGAAGATCCGCAACAAGGATGGGGAGCAGCCCACTGAAAATACGAAACTCCTTCTTAGCACTGGGCCATAACCAATGTGACTTGTACCCCTTGCCGGCGTAATCATATGCACTTCTGAAAATTCCCATGCCCCCACGGTTCAATACCAGGATGCTCATGCAATGCCCAAGCAATCGCTGCACCAAATCGGAGGATACACGGTGTGTTTCTACATACTCACATGCCCGCCGCAGCCTCCACATCCTCTCCGGAGTGGCCCTGACACAACCAGCAGCCCCATCAATAACCCCCCCCCAGGGTTCGGAAATAGGTCGTGGCATCTACATCCTCGTGCATATTGAAACCCCAATCCTCAAGCGTGTTTTGAAGCCGTTCCTTGCCAGATTGCGCTGTCTCCGCATCGAAGCTCAATACATGGGTGTTGTCGCAATAAGGCATGGCGGCAACACCTTTGTGGACCAGGTCTGGAGGAGGCCTCGCATCCAGAATAACACTGTCCGCTTCCCCATCCAAAGTCTTAACACAAGCTTGCACGTGTAGGCATTGCACCAAGTAGAATGACCAAGAAAACCCCATAGGGAGAACATCCATGCCAGGAGAGATGATGCATTCCGGGTCCCACCCCCGCATTTCCTCAGGCACACTTTCAAGGCATACTTGTAGGGCCTCTCGAAGCGATATGTCAAAGCTGAGGCAAAAGAAATCACGGAGACACGGAGGCAATCTGCAAGCGTAAAAACAATCCATTATGTCACCGCCTGCCACATATAAGTTCTTTTCATTCGGCACCTCCAAGTCCCCGACAGCCGTCAAGGAGCCCAGCTCAGTCAAGGGAGGCGCCCGGAATTGCAGGTTAACGCGCCGGCAATCCAGTATCAACCTCTGCCTTTCACGAAGCTTCCCATTGATCTCTTTCGGCTTCTTTCGTACGACAAAGGAGCCAACCCTCCCCCTCGGCTGAGCTGAGAAAGTTAGGATCCCAGCCCCGCTGAGTTTTTGCAGAAACCGGGCATAGAAGCTGCGATTGCGAAGCTGGGGGTCATCATATGTCCTTATGCTAGCGACCTCATCGCTCAAAGAACCCCAGTTGTTGAAATCCTGGAGCATGTGATCTTCCGGCCTGCGAAGGAACTCTCCTGCCTTCCCATCTAGAAGGTTCTGAATATCAACGCCAGTCAAACCGTGGCCTGGAATCGAGAGCTGGTCCAACTTCATCGGGACAACATCGCCAACACCTACTTGATCGCCCCCATAACGACTGTAGGCGACGCGGAGCGCCTGAAGGGCTCCTGCGGTACTTGCATCTTTGGGAGGTGCACCGGCTTGCTTAACCCGTGCAATGATCTGCTTGACCGCCCCCCTCTGCGCGAGCGGCATATCCTCCAAGGCCAGGGCATGAAACTCGTTCCCGGTCTCGAAGCCGCCCGAAAACAGCAAATTTAATGAAGTGATGGCCTTGTTCACCTCCTCAACAACGTGCATCCTCTTTTGAATTCGCCGCCGAGTGCCACGAGCAAGATAGTTTCCCGAAGGAGGTCCATCCGCCTTCAGAAAAGGCAAAGGAAGCAAATCCCTTTGCCTCTCACCCATGACTTGCAGCTTTCGGGCAGGGACAAAGCCTGAACCGAGCCCCCCCTGCCAAGGGCCCGAGGCAAATATCACTTTTTCGGGGCAGCCCCCGCATCCTTCGGATTCGGCGGGGGGTTCGGATTTTTGTTCTTGCCCTTGCCTTTGTTCTCGAGCATCTCGCGCTTTTCTTTCTGGACCTGACTCTCCTCATGCATGCGGCGAGCCACATGCTCGGTAAGACTGGGAACCACAATCGCTCCTCCCGGCCGGAACCGCCTTCCCATAAAGAAGTCCGCCGCCTCATAAGAAGGCGCGCCGGGGATAACGTGCGCCTCTGCAAGCAACTGCTTGCGATGCACCAACACCTCGAAGCTCGCCAAGTTCACCACATTCAAGCAGTCATATTTTATGGCTAGGTCCAAGGCATGACTGAGTACCTCGTCTTCGTAGATGGCACGATCACCTTCTGGTATCTTGCTTTGGGCCACCCAGGCAAGATGCTGCCCGTAGCAAGATTCAGCAACCTCAGTCACAGCCTTCAGGTAGTCGTGGCAGGTCCTCGGCTCGAGCGGGAAATCGTCGAACTCGACCGCGCGGAATTCTTTTACCGTCTCCTTGATGTTCCTTCCACGATCCCCGTTAGCCAAGTAGACGACTGACATGGTACGAACATCCTCTCCAGCATGCCGCTCATCTCCATGCATCGCCTCTGACAAGCGACAGGCCTTGACCCGCTCGTCACAAAAGTTGCCCAAATCATCCGGCAGAACACTTGCAGCCAGAGCCACCACACTCTTTCCACTGGAATCTTTTATCCGGACTAAAGCTCTGCCATCTAGGATCGGGGTCCCAGCGGAAACCTCGACCTCCTCTCCAATCTTATGGCCCGGCACGTACTCCGCCAGCACCCACAAGTGGCCGTCTCCACCAGGTAGATCGCCAGAAGAGGGGGTCAATGCCGGCGCAAGCGGACCCAATCCAGCCCCCGCGGTGGCGCCTCTGCGACTGATCTCAGCCTCTGCCTCCTCTCGTCCCAGTTGCATGAATCTCGACAGCTCAATCGCTGTCATTGGGCCGAAAGCGTAAACATTCCGAGCAGAGACGCCTCTAGGGATGCCCCCATTGGGTCCGGAAGTAAAGAACCTAGTCAAGTCAGGATTTGAAATGTCCAGAATCTCCGTGTATATGTCGTGGTCCGGGGTAAGGATGGTGTACTCAAAGGTCGCGTGGTCTACAACCGCCAGAACTACACGAGTGTGCACACAAATGGGCCGTTCTCCATAGTCCAGGTAGACGATATTTCCCCGGACTGAAAACCATTTCAGTCAGTCAAGGAGAGGCCACGACGAGCTCCGTACACGCCCTTGGATTTGCCCTTAATCTGCAAGGCCACTTCTTGCTCACCCGATTGCCCCTTCACTGTGACTTTCAAAGCTAAAGCAGCGTTGGAGATCACAGCAAGGCAGGCCACAAAGCAGAATCCAATAAAGTAGTTGTAGGCACTTTCGCCCTTTGATGGCTGATCTGTCTGAGCACAAGCGCAATGGCAATTACAGGCAGGCAATTCCGCCTTTGGTATCAGACTCCCTCTAATCACCCAACCTCCCAGGAAGCAAAGACCTCCAAGGGCCAGGGATCCGGAATCCATGGCACTCTATCTCCCCCTGAAAAAGCTTGAGGAGTAATTCAAGCGGCCATATCGTTACGTTCGCACCTGCATCAAAACTCTGCTCAGCAGAAACAATGTCCAGATGCAGGCAAATGCTTCCATGTTCTTTCTCTCGATACTTCGCGAGATGCTGCAGGCTCATCGGCACGATCACGGACTTGGCACCTATGATCTCCAAGAGTCCGGAACTTCTACTTCCAGTGACCACTGCAGCAGAGGCTGCATCCCGGAGCATGCTGAGATGACGTCGGTGCGCTCACAAAAGTCTGGGAGGGAATTTCCGATCAGTGAGCGGAGGTCAGCCACCACAACCAAAACCTTGGCCCGAAATCCTCGCAACACTCCAAGTGGCGCAGAATCCCTTCAGAACTCACCCTCACACGGCAGAGGTGTGCTGAGTTTCGAGGCCTTTCTTAGCAGCTTTGGGCAGGCACGCTCTGCTCCACCAATCCAGAGCCTTTCCCTGTCGCTTAGCACCAGTGTGGGACCGTCTCGAGATAGATGTTCGCCTTTACAGCTGTCAGATGCCCCGACATACGTCCAAACGCTGTGGATCTTGCTGAAAGGCCCACAACAAGCATCAAGACTTCTCATCAATCTGGCCAATTGGTGAGTCAAAGCCTGCATGCGGCTACTACAGCAGTACAGTAAGTGCTTGATGTGCGTGCCTCCGCAAATCGAACTCCATAGGCCCGTAACACCTGCAATCGACCAAGAAGTTGACCGTCTCTGCAGGATGTCTGGGCATCCAGTCACAGGACAGCTCCGCTTCAACCTCTTCGAGCTTCTTTCCCGGCTCTGCGCCGCCACTCCTCCAGCTCTCGGCAGCGATCCCGGGCGCAGAAGGACCTTGCAAGTCACCTCGCGCTCCCGCTCGCACAGCAACTGCGAGAAGGGTCATTGCATGCTGACCACCTGTGAACCTTTCTTCAGGTGTCACAGCTGCGCCTTGGCATCGGACATAGACATGAAGCAGTGCTGCTTCACCGACCACTTCAGGGGAGCCGCTCAGGATGCCAACATCGTCAACCAGGCTGTATCCCGGATCCTCGGCAAGCTCCAACTCGTGGTCGCCTGAGGTCGCTTCACTGAATGTCGCGCGCAGCGAGCGAGGGTGAGGTGATGAGCTTCGTGTCGCGATGCTCCTCACGAATGCCCCCCTTGTCCATGCCGCATGCCCCATTTCTCCCCGCAGATCCAGCATCTGACCGAGCATCGACAATCCCTCAGCCTCCGCATTAGCCGAGGTTGCTTGGATGCTCCCGGCATTTGCTATGATCCTGCAACTGACCGAGCTCCTTCTGCATCTCCCCGCCACCCCTGCATGCTTTTTGCACTTCGCACACTCACTTGGACTTGGAGCTCCGCGTACCAGGCGATTGGCTCTCGGCACTCCTTGCTGGACGCCTGCGCCTCTGCCACAGCCAGTCTATTGTGCAGCTGCACTTCGCAGGAAACGGGTCCAGGTTTGCACAAAGCACTTTGCAGTCAGGGACACACGAAACACCTCCGCCCGAGGCTCCCACGCGCCGAGGGCCATGCCGCAAAGCCGCGCCTTCATGCAGACGCTCCCGCAGGGAGCGCTGCAGCTCTCCGGCGATGTCTGGAGATTCGCTTCAAGGCCGCCGCGCCTGGCTCTGCGCCGCCACCCCGCGAGCTCTCGGCAGCGAGACCCGCTGCCGATTGCCCGAGCCAGCGTGGATGCAAATGGGAAGCGTAAGCCGGTTTCAACTGGGCAGGGTCAAGGCATTGCACGGCAGCAAAGCCAAAGCTCATCAGAGCACCCTTGATGTCGTAAGTGAGTTCCGATCGCAAGCGATCGGAAGCACGGCACATCGAAATATCCGGATGCGGGCGATGGTCCTGTTCCTGAAGTGCAGCCCGAAGACACGAGGGTAGAGCCACCGCTAAATTCCGGGATCGTGTGCTCCATGTCTCTCAGGAAAGCTGCGTCGCCTGCCCACGACACGATCGTGAGATCTCCCACCACCTCAGAGAACGCTCAGAACGCTCCGACATGTCTCTTGTTATCGTCGTGGAAGCCGTCCACGATGGGCAAGCGTGTGGCGCTTCACAAAATTCCAGGCCAGGCAGAGACCAATCGTTTGGAACTGAAGCTGAAAAGCGTCTGAGGTTGAGTCTCCAGCCCCAGTGCGGCGGCAGTCGAAAAAAGAATCTTTCCAGAGTGGTTCTTCCAATGATGATGGAGAATGTAAGGTGACCAAGCTCCTGGCATCAAGATGTGGGGGAGCAGAGCTTGAGCGGCGTTTTCTAAACGTCGCAGGTTTCTTCACGCAGGCCGCAAAGGCTTCGATACATGAACCCTGCATGACTGAAGGGAAAAACACACACGCAACGCGTACATGTACCAAGTAGGCCAAAAACCACGCCCGCCTGTGCTTGACGGGCGTCGAACAAAATTTCTTGTCCCAGCGCCGCTGCACCGGAGCGCGCCGCAGTCGAAGAGCGTGTGGGGCCGGCGTGCTTGCGGAGAGCCGAAATGCAGGTCACCGAAGTGTGTGCGGCGATGCCGGCGGGGCCTCCGGCGGCTATGCTGAAGCCAGACACGAAGGGAATCACGGAAAGCTAAAGCAAGCAAAGCCACACGTTCCCAATCGAAGCAGCTCCGGCTGCAAGGAAGCAGCGCCTCGCTTCGTGATTCCTTCTTTGAGTTAAAACAGCCGTGGCACAGAGCTGTGCAGAGCGCTGCCGCTGTCAAGGGCGCGACTGGGCTCCGGGCTGCAGTCTCTTTAGACCAGGGGAGGTCCTGAGCTCAACTCGCCGTAAACACGGTGAAGCTACAGTCTTCCCCTGTGCCTGGCCTTGCACTCTTTCCGCGACCGCCAGCCGCACAAAAAATCTCCTAAATGAGACTCTGATGATCCACTTACAAAGCCACGCCAACCCAAATTGCATTCTCGAAGCGGAGCGGCGAGCGGAATTCAGACTTCGGAGCTCGCAGCATCTCGGGTCCTTCGGCTGCTTGAAGTGGGCGAGGGCTTCACCACCGCCTCTTCGAAATTGACGAAGCCCAGTCTTTCAAGGATCTTTTCCAAGCCCTGCAGTGCTCTTGATTCTGTCCACGGCCCCGCTCTCCAAGCAGGTGCACATACCCCAACCCAAACCGTGGTCTCCAAGCAAGCGTAATCTTCGCATCCCAGTCACCGCGGCATCTGTGGTCTATGGTCAAGTCGACGCTGACCTTGCCCTTCAAGGCTGCCAATGCAAGCGTCTCCCTGCAAGGGGTACCGTGTGCCTGGCGCCTCTGCCCGGTCTCTGCGCGGCTGAAGACCTGTGCCGTACGGTTGAGGGCGCGCTTTAGGGCTCGGGTGGATCCTATAGGCCGGAGACTAGTTAGTAGAGAAAGGCACATTCCGCTCAGGTTTGTATTGGCAACGGCGGCCTGCCTATTGGGATTTAATAGGGAGTGTGATGTGGCGCGTCAACGTTTTGCGACAAAGCAGGCAGTTGGCAGTTCTGGCCCTTCGCCAGTAATCAGCCCTTGCGGAACACTCCCCCTGAAACCGTCTGATGTAGACGGTTAAGGGTTAAGGCCGCCCTCGCCAGAAAAAGGTGGGAGGCTTATGCCTGCGATGGACGCAGGCCATCCGATTATAGGAGGAGGAGGAGGAGCGACAACAAAACCTGGTCTCGGTTTCTGGAGGTATCACGAAACTTGAAAGTCAGCTTTACAACCGAAGCGACGGCACCTGCAGTAGGCGCTCTAGCTCAGACAGGGTTCCAAGCTTTCTGTCTTCGTGGGCTTCTGTTTCCTGGCGGCTCGGGACTACAACTACGACAAGGGGGTTTGGCATCCGACTTTCGGGTGGGGTTGACTGTGCTTTGGGTGTGCAAGGTTGCGGAACTGGCGTCCGGGTGTGTGCAAGAACCCATGCATGCTCGGAATGTATGGCCCTCTGCTCGCTTCTGCCTAGAATGCTTCAGTGTTAATGCATAACAACCATCATGTCCTACAGGGCCACAAGAAGCCCTGGCAGAAAACAACAAAATCTGTGGGAAACTTCTGAAACAATTCGCTTCTTCTGGACTTCTGGAGCCTGAGACTTCACAGTTTCGCGCTGCTCCCACACCTCGGATTTGATCCTTGTACTATGGGCATTTCTGTCATAGTCGACCGGCTCGCCGCTCCCCACGGACCAGACATGAAGTCGGCCACTCTCGTCTGCAGCTGCGCCCGGTGGCCCGGCGCCAGCAGGCACAGCGAGTCCCGTGAAGCGGAAGTCATCGCTCCCGCTCACCAGGTGACCACATGTAGTGAGGCAGAGGCAATTCACAACGGTCTCAACAGCAAGCTTTTGCCACTCCTTCGCCATCTCCTGGCTCTCGGCCCCGCCTCGGAGAAGCGTCCGGCCGGTGGCCCGCCAGCTCCGTTGCAAAGCGCTCCCGACACCGACTCAGGCAGGGCTCGGCCACCTCCGGCTTCGCGGCCCAGAGTCAACGCCGCGAGAGGATCGTCTGCATGCGGAACGATACGAGAACCTCAAGGCACTCCGCTAGACCGCTAGATCGTGAGATCAAGATTTCCGTCCTCGATGCCCATTCCACGCGAACGTCAAAGAGACCTGCCCAGCGAACCCAAAGGTGAAGTACCCCTGAGAATCTTCCCTTTGGAGGGTGTCGGCTTCGTCCTTTGGGGTCAGAGAACTATATATGTTGCCGTAGGGGCTTCCGCCCCCAGGTCAACAAACACAGCTCCCGTTTGTGCTGCGGTGCGAACCTTCTTCGAAGGAATCATGAGGCTTATCTCCAACAAGGGTGCGCCTGCAGAGCTCTCGTAGAGACAGCATCGAGACATGTGAAGCTCATACCACGTCTGCCAACACCTACGTGCGACCTCTTGTTACAGAACTGGGGACGCATTGCAGAACAGGTTGCAACAAGCCAGGATAGAAGCGCGCCACCCACTCTGAGCTGACACAGCTACCGGGAAGACTCTGGCATGACAATTGCTATGTAGAGATAGCACGAGCATTACTGCGAAACCCCTGCTGCACTGGCCCTGGAACTTCCATTGGCAGAGCCACAGAGGAAAGCACCACATGCCCGCCAATGGCAACAGCCACGATGCCATGCGAGGGTAGAAAGCCAAGCTCACGATTCCGCACGATGAGAGGACAACAACTGAGCAAAGGCGCTGTCCTGCCATGACAAGCTCCCCTCACACTTTAGGATGTCGTTTCTGCGTCAATGATGCGATGTGCGACCAGTGCTATACGATGATGGGTCGATGATCAAAGGAATATTCGCAGCGCTTCAGGAGAACGCCTTCGAGACAGAGCAGGGCCCACACCGCAACCAAAACCTTGGCCCGCACTGCATCTGCGGCCAGGAACTGTCGAGCAATGTTGAGGAGTCGATAGCGACAGCGCGTCAAGCAGCCAATGTTTTCCCCGGAGAAGGTGGGGCGAGAACGAACTGACATGAAGCCAAGGACTTCGCCAGCTGTGGACACACAACCATGCCTTCACACACGTCCCGCTCCTAACCTCGCGCGAATCGCGGCAGCAAAGCCAAAGCTCATCAGAGCACTCTTTGATGTCGTCACTGAGTTTCGGCAAGCGGATCGGAAGCACGAGTACATCAGAACATCCTGTCACAGTCGTATTCCGATTTCGGTTCCTCCGGTCGAGGCTGTGACGGATTCCCACCCTGCCCTGGTCCTTCCAGATAAGCTCAGCGAGGAGTCGGCCAGTGAGAGACACTGCTTCTTTGTGGCATGCTCGGAAGCTTCTGCCTCCAAACCTGAGCCACCTCCATCACTATACCTGACAGAGTGCTGTACGTGGCAATCTGTTGTAAGAACTTGCACACCGGGTACACCGTAGAAATACGGCTTATTCACCAAAGACTACAAGCCACACTTTTCGGTGTGGGCACATGAACTGCGAGGTCTGGCTGGCACCCGCGACGACAGCACATGCACGACAGCATGCCGGCAATGCGCGCAGCACAAGCGATCCCGTGGCCGGGATCGGCACAGCCGTCAGGTGGGTCGCTCCGGGGGCTCTTAGCTCCAGCCCTACCTAACAGACGAATACATGTTTTTCTTTATAGGCTAGGCAATGTCTTCAGAGGAGTGGGGAAATGCAGTGAGGCCAATCTGATCTGCTAGGCACATGCATCAATGCATCAGCTGCTTCCTTGCGGCTCTGCCGCCACCAAGGGCAGCATCGCCAGAAGTGGCCCCAGATCTATCGTCCAGACTTGCCGAGGCTGCATCGTTAGAAGCCACCATCTGCCAATTCACCCCAGGTGACCGAAGCTTCATCGCCCGAGACTGCAGCAAGCTGCTGCCCAGTCTGCACTTGCTCTTGTATGGCAGTGCTGCCTCCAACGAGCGCATCAGCGTCCCATACTAAAACAGAAGGATCGCCCAGAAAGGCAGCAAGTGCACCACGTAGGAAGCTGGATCTGTTGCATATGATTCTGCTGCTCCTGCTCCCTTACAAAACTGCTGTCGAAGCCAAGGACCACCCCACCTCAAGTGATCACAAATCCACAGCCCAGGATTGCAATAGCAGCGGTAGAGGCGAGGATACATTGCACAAACTTCCGCCGCTGCTACCGTGCTGCACGACGGTTGCCCACAAGGGAGAACATCACCCGAGCTGACCCCACATGCATCGCACAGGACTTCCGCAAATACACCCACTGAAGCTATGGACCTGTTGCACACGCTTCAGTTGCGCCTGCACCACCAACAGGGATGGTGACCATAGATGCATCGTCCAAATATCCGCGAAAGCCCTGGCTCGTGCCTGCAAATGTGACCTGGTGCACATGCAGGTGTTGACACGTCTCCGTTCTGCAGCCTTGCTGTGTTGAAAACTTGACGCACCATCACGCACCTCTCAAAACTTAGACAGCCCTAAAGATTCACAGCACACGCACTGCTTGGCACGCTCCGACAATGAGAAGAGCATGCCATCCTGGGGCTCTGCCAAGAATAGCCCGCAAAAAGTCCCGGCAGCATCTGCAAGCTGAGCCTTGAACTGGAGCTCGCAGTGTTTAGGCCAGCCTATGCATGATGCAAGGCCTTCACTTTAGTCGTTTGAAAACGATTGCAGCGCTTGGCAAAGCAGGCCTCGACTCGACCTGACGCTACTTAGACCAAGGCAGGCTTTCGGCCTCGAAGCGAACCAGTCTATAAAGCGGAAGGCTCAAGTCGCAAGGCCTGACGGATGCCTCCACGGCTTGGCCTCTCCTGCGACATATTCTGCCACCCTCTCGGCCAGAGGTGTTTCACAGCTCAAAGCGAGCCAGGGCCACAAGAATCACAAGAAGCCTTGCCTCGCAAACAACAACACAACATATCGGAAGCACCTCGGATTTGCTGCCTTTTCTGGGTCACGGCTGGAGCTGCCAAAGCTTCAGGGTCGAGCCCGAGCTGCCGCTGCACAGCAAGTGCTCGCCGCGCACCTCCGTCACCATTTGATCCCTTTGCTATGGCACTATGGGCATTCCTATTCTTGTCGTCGCGGACCGGCTCGCCGCTCCCCACGGACCAGACATGAAGTCGGCCACTTTCGTCTGCAGCTGTAAGGTGGCCCGGCGCCAGCAGGCACAGCGAGTCCCGTGAAGCCTAAGTCATCGCTCCCGCTCAGCAATGAATGAACATGTCATGTCTAACGCCCCCGCCTCCAGCTGATGTTTCAGCGCGTCCAAACGAACAGATCACCGGAGCCACGCTGCGGATCACTGAGAGGAAGCTCTGCGGACGCGAACAGGCCATGGCAGGTTGACAGGGACGGATAGGTCCGAAGAGTCCGCATCACCATGACTGCCTCTTGCAGGGACTCCGCATGCGTCGCTCATGTAAATACAGCTCCCTCGTGAAGAAAAAAAGGGTCGAGGGCCTCCCTGAGTTGATAGGTGTTTCTTCTCCTCACTCTCGGCCGTCGCGGGCCCGTCGCGCTCTCGCGCCGCCGCCCAGCGCCCAGCGATGTGGCCCCGTCGCCACGGAAAAGGACGCATCTGTTCCGCACTCGCGATCTCAGAGCTTTGCCGCGAAACGTACACTGACGTGAAGAACAAGCTTACAAATTGAAGCCGCGCCAGACTTCATGTTTCTAGGCGAAACGTCAAGAAATGCTGAAAGGCTTTAATCGTCAAGGTCAAGTTTATGCCAAGAGGCAGAGAAGCATAATCGATTGAACGGAGACCACCTCGCAGAATGCAGAATTGGCGTTTGCGGCAGAATCAAGCTGTATAAGGAAGACGTCAAAGTCCTGTTTCGAAGCCCCACGTCCGCAGAGACGCGGCACTGCGCTGTCGTGGCTATTCAAATTTGTTTGTAGTTCGCTGCAAAGGCTGGCACTGCACAGGCATGGGGCATAGGCTGTGGCTCTCGCTCTGGTCTTTGACGCTCCTGCCTCGGGTGAAAGGTTCCCACACACACAGCAGCACTCAAAGACTGCAGGAGGCATCACAATTAAGCAGCCGGAGTTGCAGCCTGCGACTGTTGCGACAGCTGCATTCACAGCAGCAGGAGCCAAGTTCCAAATCCCGAGCGCATCCGCGGCCTCTGCGTCTCGCGCACGTTCTGTGCGTCTCTGCCAGGAAGGTGTGCCAAAGGCCCTGCCTCGCAGATGTCCAGTGACAGAGAGCCCGATGCAAGAGCCGCGCAAGATCCACAGCGGCTGCCCAGGACGCGAGCAGCCACGGCTGCTTGGATGGTCGTAATACACACGCCTGCTGTTGAGTTCCAGATGCTTGCAAGGGACAGGGCAGCAGCAACAGTTGACGGTTACTTCTGCATCCGAGGATAATCGTGAGAACTGCTTTCGGTGTCAGCTTGCGATCAACGAGCGTGAAGTGTCATCAGCTCGCGTGTGATCGTCTGCACCACTCTGGAACTCCACATAGGTGTCCACGCAGCTAGAGACGACAAAGCAGGCAAGGGAAGCAGTCAGACTGAACGCACTCCAGTTTGTGGGGCTTGCGCGAAAAGCAAATTCAATTCACATCCCAGGATGCAGTACGGCATGCATGCAATTGGACATGTCCAAGGGCGAGTCGCCACGATCATGGCCTGCCATGATGGAAGCCAGGTTCCTGTTCCCGCCGCCTTCCAATGATTCGAGGTCTTGAAGTCTCTTGCATCCTTCAAGCCTTCAACACGAAGCAAGAATATTCTGCATACTTGCTTTCGCTCAAGCTTGAAATGCAGCTGAGCGCACAGCCAATGCGTTTGCATTCAACGTGTTTGCCTGAAGTTCTGGGATGGACCGTAAAAAAAGCACACATCCTTCTCATGCTCTTCCAGCCAGAGCCCCAAAAGCAAGCGCGACGACATGTAGTGAACCAGCCAAGA